ATTTCACTTAACATTATGTTTTCAAGGTGTGTCTGTTTTCCTACAAATGCCTTGAATTTACCCTTGTTTAGAGGCAAGTGGTATTCCATTCTTGCAGTACATCCTTGGCACCAGTGGTCACCTGGTGGGGCTGGGCGCACTCTCCTGGTGGGGTATGAACAGGACACTGGGAAGCATGGAGAAAGCAGGCTGTGCAATGGAAGCTCTGCCAGAAGGAGGTCCCATCTCATGTTCACCCCAGCTTCCCCACCCCTGGCACATAGGAGACACTCAGTGAGCGTATTTTGAGTAAATCAGTGTGTGGAAGGAATGACTACATAGGTGAAACTTTGGAGCCATCTCCGTGATTTCTAATAGTGGAACAGACTTGTCAGAGACGGAAGAGCCTCTGAGGTCAATCCCATCCTTGAACAAATGGGAAATGGAAGCCTGGCAAGCAGAAGGCACTTGCTCAAGCCACACCGTCAGTGCCTTGGAAAAACAGGATCCAGCCAGAGTGGTGCATGCCTGTAACCCCACAACTCTGGGAGGCTGAGGCAGGAGGATTATGAGTTCAAGCCCAGTCTGGGCAATTAGTTATTTAGTGAGTCATTGTCTCAAAATAAAGAAATATGAAAGAGCTGAGCATGTAGTTTAATAAAAGGGCCATGAGTTTGAACCTTAATACTACTAAAAAAATCAGGTACTTTCTGATTGTGATTACCCTTGCCAACACATGAGCCTGCCATTTCTGGTGCATCCCATGCAGACGATTTCAGGCTGGCAGTGCTGTACGCTGAGTAGGGAAAGACAGGAAGCCAGATGCCTGCACTCTGTGTGTGTTTGAAGATGTAGAAAAGTCCCCAAGAAGCTGTTCAGAGGCTTCCTGCGTCATGGGAAGGGCGGTTGGATCTCACATACGGTCTTTTCTCCCTGAGGTTCTCACCAGGTGTGCACTTCCAGGGTGTGGCTCCTCCCTCCCCTGATAATCAAGCACATCTATGGGTGGGCGTCATCCCAACTGCACAGGATGACTGCGTGGCAGAGACCTTGGAGAGTGGAGTCGTCAAGTCTCCTGTCTTGGTGATGAGTCTCACCTTCTCAGAAGACCCAACCTTGACCTCCAGGGTGGCACCAACACCTCCAGTTTCATCTAGCTCCACCAAATGGTTTTATTTCTTTGTTGCATCTCTTGTTGATTGTTTTTCTTAACTAGCATAAAACATCCGCAAGGGTGAGGTCTTTATAAATTTTGTTCACTAGTATTTCAAATCCCTAGGATGGTCAGATGGGTGGTGGATGGATGGATGGATGGATGGATGGATGGACAAATGAAAGCAAGGATGCTCACTCAGGAGACTTGTGTTTCATTTTAACTCTGGTTTTCTGTGTGTGGGCTCAGTTTCCTCATTAATGATGGGAATGGTTCTACTTCCCTGCAGTTGGTGCATCTGTGGGCTGGTGAGAGCACTCATGCAGAGTAAGCTTTGATAGGCATCTAAGAAGTATTGAGTACATCAAAGCCAAACCTACTGATACAGTCCCTCGTTCATTCATTGGGCCAGTCAGGCCACAAACATAGGATCACTTACAACACAGGAGTCTGCCTGAGTCATTCTGCAACTGAGAATCTGGAATGCCCCCACCTACCTCTTCAGCCCCTCTGCCCACTTCTTTCTGTCTTACTTTGTTGCCCTGGCAACATGAATCTCATTTCACTTTCTCATTTCAGTCCGCTCTTAGGCCTTTACATATGCTTTTCTTACCTTTGCATAAGCTTGTGACATTTCTTCATCTCTCCTACCCGACCTCTTCTTTTTTTTCTTTTCCAAAACATTTTTCTTGCAGTGAAGAACGAAAATATGGCTGTGCAGGTAGGACGTCATATTCAAAACTATTTAAAACCTGCAGCAATCATTTTGAAAATAGAACTTGTTAAAAGAAATATTAATAAAGCACTACAGCTTATGCTCAATTTCCATTTGAAAGACAAATCAGTATTTTATATGTTCTTAACTGCACTGGAAGGCATACACCTCTGTGTAGCTGTAATTAATAGCTACAGTTTAAAAACACATGAGGTCCCAGCATGTGATGCTCTCCTCAAAAGTCAGGTAGTGCCTTCCCTGGGTCCCCAAACTGGATCAGGCCTGACTTCCTGTCACATTCTCCCACGTACTCCTGGCCACCTGTCACACGTCTAGGGGAGAGCACTGTTGCTCTGCTGGGAAGAACAGCCAACCAGGGTCATAAACTCAGCACCAGTAACAAATCAAAGAGACAGAGTTTTTAAAAAGGGAAGACTCTTTATTTGTAAGGAGGAAAAAAGCAGAAGGCAGAAAGCTGCCTCAAAGCAGGGGCAGAGGGTTCCAGAAAGACGGATTCCTTTGTTTCTGGCCTCTTTTACCAGGATTTGGGAGGCCCTCTTCCCAGGTCAGTACCTGGAACTCATCACAACCTGATCGGCTGTCTGGACTGTCTTGTGAATTCCAGGCCACAAGACTCTAACCCCGGTGCCTTTGCCTGTGTGCACATTGCTTTGGTGGACTTTTCTTGATTTTCTCTCTCCCACTTGTCTTTGTCATTGTCTTATCTCTGGAGTTTATAGGTTGGTTAGGAGGGAAGAGCCTTACATACAAAACTGAGTTAGTGACTAAGTAAGGGGATGTGTGTGCATTTAGTGCCGTCAGATGATGAGCCTCGAGTGAGAATGTGTGTATATGTGTGTGTGTACATAGATATGAATATAGATTTTATGTGCTAAATAAGAGTTTTCTTTTAGGTTATACAGACCCCACCTCCTCTTGTCTCCTTTGCATTTTATTGGCTGTGGGCAGGGGCTGGTTTCACACACCTGACTCCCTCTGTGCTCTGTGTGTCAGCTCTCCCTCAGGCCTTTTGATGTATGTTCCTTTTCCTTGCTCCCAGAGGAATTCCTCTAGTAAAGTTTTCAACTCTTTCAAGTCAGGATTAACTAGAAAGCCTAATGAGGCCTTGTTCTCTTTTTTCCTGCCAAGAGACCCCTTGCCCCTGCACACCCACCCTTCGTCATGCTCACTGGGGTTGATGATGATGGATGTGCAAGTGTGGAACGACGGAGGAGCCACACGAGGATTCATGATGCCTTGGCCAGGCCCTGACTCCATGTAGACACAGCCAGGTCTGCTGTGGGAGCACCAGCCTGAAGGATGCACCCTAGCTGCCTATGTCACTATTTAAGGCAGGATGGATGGCATTTAGGTGGAGAAAAGTTCATGAAGAGACGCTGATGAACTGGGACAGGAAGGATGAGCTGGAGCTCATTAGTCAGGAGGATGGAACTCTCATTCTGGGGGGATGGGAGAGCCAGTGTTGGAAGGCAACTCTTTTAGGATCTCTGGTGGTCTCCAGGGCATGGGGAGGGTGGAGGGAGGTTGCAACAGCAGCTCTCAGGGGAACCTGTTGGCCAGGCACAGTCTCTGACAGTCTCGGGTCTTTCTCAGGGTGCCTCAGCCTGGGCGACGGGTCTTATCTTCCTTTCAGAGACGAAGAGGCTCCAGAGATGAAGCCGCAAGCCTAGATCATCTGGGCACTGAATGATGCTATAGCTCTGTTCTCCTAAATTGCACACCTGAGATGTCACCGATGGCTTCTGTGTCGCTGGGCACTGCTTAGGGCTCACCTTCTCCCTAGCACCTGAGTAGCTGCACATTAGGGGTTCTGGGCCATACTGCCCCCACACTGACCTGCCTGTCCCCCTTCAGACTGCTTTCTCCACCCTCTGAGGTCTGGGGCTCTGGGCCCAGGAGGGAGCAGGAAGCTTGCTAGACCACAAGTTGTGACTTGGACTTGGAGAGAAGCTGAGGTCAGCGTGGGACCCTTTCTTCCCTCCCCCATGCCAGGAGCATGGATCCCGCTACCTGTGGCTTCCATGAGGCCCTTTCACCTGTCAGAGCCTTCCTGTCCACCTCTGGCTGCCCACAGGGCCAAGGTGACCACAAAGGTCGCAATGAGCTGCAAACTGCTAGAAAGTGCAATTGCTGCTCCCCTGAGTGTCTTAGTGCTGAGCAGATCAGAATCTGCTCCTTCCAAAAAGTCACCTGCAAGGGAGCCTTCACTGAAATGAATCCTCTACATTAAGGCCCAAGGGACCCTGGGAGCTACCGGTGCCCCCTAGTGGTCACAGACTAGACCATCAGGGCTCATTACCTGAGGCAAGGCAGGGGTGTAGAGCCACCCTTGAGGACAAGGCCCCAGCCCTGGATTTCTTCTTGTGTCTGAAATAGACATGGCCAGCAGAATCCTTGCTGCTACCACAGTTGCCTCCTCTTAAAGCTGTCCAAGGGCTGGGCCTGCTCCTCCTGTGCCACCAGCTACCTGCAAGCCTGGCTGGCGCAACACCTGGGCGCTCTGGGAGGACAACCGTGTAGGCTATGAACCCACCCGTCTCTCACTCCAAACCCTAGGTACCTGCTGTCATGGCTCATGTTCAGATGCCACCCCAAAACCTCATGTGGATGAAGTGGGGCTTTCTTTTCTGGAAGTGGCTGAATCAGGAATGTGTCATGCTAGGATTAAGGACATGTGGTTACTAAACTGATGCTTTTGAGTGATTCGTTTGGCATGGCCCTAATCCTGGTAGTCTGAATAAGATAAAAGGGGCAGAAAGATGCTGCTAAGGTCCCTTGTGAGTTTTGCCACCTTGTCCACGCCATGTAGCTTCTCTTCTGTGATGCCTGTTTGCCGTCAATGCCTTGGAGCCAGCCTGGTATGGACTGAAACCTCTACAAACTGTGAGTTAAATAAACCTTTCCTCCTTGGACTTTGGGGGTCAGGTATTTTGTCTCAGCAATGAACAAAAAGTAATTAACATGCTTTCTGTGGCTCCCACCTTCCCCAAACTATCCAGAAACAGCCAGCAGGCTTGGCAGGGGGAAAGGCTCTTGTTTGCTAAATAACAAAGGCCAGGCTGGGACATGTGGAGCAGGTGGAGTGTGGCGTTTAATCCCCAAATCCCAATGCGCAGGGAGGGGTGTTGGGGTGGCCTGTGAGGCAGCACATTTGGGCAGCTGTGGGAGATGGGCCATGGGGCAGGATTAGGTCAGAGTGTGCCTGTGGCCCCACCCCAGGGATTGAAAGCGTGCTTGTTCATCTCAGCCCATGGTTGAGCTCTGCAGTGAGCAGAATTCCTTTTTATTTCCCACTCGGTTTAGAAATCTTTCCCAAGAACAGCATGGCAGGCATAGTGGTCTCATACAGCATTATCAAGTAGGGTCTGTTTAGCTTGAACTTTTGGGGCCTCTCCATGGGCAGCGTCTCAGCTCCAGAGCTTGCAGTACCCTCAGTTCCTTTCTCATTCATCTTCAGCTCAGCCTTGTGCACGGCCTGCAGGGGTAGATAGCGAGGTCAGTGCCTGTCCAGCCACTCACTGAGCACCGTGGGCTGGACGCGAGGCCCAGAGAGGGAGGCAGCTGGGCCAAAGTTGCCCAGCACAGCCTGGGGCTCCTGGCTATTGTGTCGTCATTGCTGTGTGACACTGGACAGGAAGAAAAGGGTGCTGGGGAAGGGTTGGTGCAACAGGGGACACGGGGTGGGGTTTGCTGTGCGTCTAATGAATTTCGAGGAATCATCAAGTGTGATTGCTACAGAAAAGGTCTGCTGAGTCAGAGCTCCTCCTGGAGAATGGTTAAGAGGGAGCCAGGTTCCAGAGCAGCTGTTGAAAGTGACTCGGACTCCAGCACCCCAGGTTCGCCTCAACAGTGTCAGCACCTGTGACCAGGGAATGCATGCGCCCCTGCGAGATTCTGACACATTTCATTCTAGTCCGCAAAACTCCAGCGATTCCACTTGCAGAAAACGGGCCCCTTGTTGGAATCACAACCACCAGCTCACTTCACCTCAGGAAAGAAAAGACCCACTGAACTCAGACAAGGGCTGTGGGAAGGGAGAGCTGCAGCGGAACATTTGGAGATGTCTCAGAATCAAGCCAGGGAAACTATGACCTGTGTTTCTTCCTCTGAGTTTTTGCCAAGTTGTGACCCACTCCCCCAGGCTGGCTTGACTGGCCCCTTCACCCCACTCTGTTACTCCCCAGCACCATGTCCCCCACTACTGTTCCACCCCCCGCCCACCCTCTGCTGGCCAATCTCCTCGCACTATGCTGTGCTTCTAAATCTCCCCTTCCATTCCCTCTTCATCCAGAAGGCGCTGTATTACACCCAGGTCAATCTGAATGCAAGATAAGCAGTGAATACACTTGAGTATAAAAATTTGGCATGTGTTTACATTGACAAAATTATTCACTGTTTATCTGAATTCCAAAAGTAACCGAGTACACATCTCATATTGCATCTGCTAAATCTGATTGCCCTGCCTGCATGGCCCTCTCTTCTTGCTCCAGGAGGTGCTCCCCCTTGCTGGAGACCACAGGACCTTTGGTACCCATCTCTTCATCACCAGAACTTGTTTACGACCTACTTCCGAGAATACCCTGAGGCCTCCGAGAGGAAGTTCTGGGCCTGATCAATGTCCCAGGGCTCAATCAATATTTGTTGCATTGAGTCAACTTCAAACTGGCACCGGGAGAGGCACAATTCCAAATTTCAAGACTAGGCCCAAAAGCCTGGGGGGTGAGGGCATGGTTTACGCTTTGCTTGCCAGGATGGCCCAGAGGTTGGGGTGGACTTCAGCTCCAGCCCATCCTGTGTGGAGGTGGCTTGTGTCCTTGCTGTTCTGGCTGCTGCTACAGTGGCTCTGCCGGCTGTGTGAGGCTCCCTGCTTACCTCACCCACTTTCAGGCTGCGGTGAGGGGAGATCCTTGTGAGGTCACCGTGTTCCTCGAAGATCTTGCTGATGCCCAGCTGGGAGAGAGTCTTCTTCAGGTTGTAGGTTCCAGAGATGTGCATCCTGGGTACGTACACATCCACGACCCTGGCGAGTCACAGTGACAAGAGTGAGCTGGCTGGTGCCACCAGGCAGATGGCAAAGGAGGCCTTTGTCCAAGGGCCTCAGATCTCCTCTGTCCATGGGATGAGGAGGGGCCTCTTCACCTGGGACCCTGGAACATAGCTCCAAAACACCCTGTGCTCTCTGAATGATGTCCCTGCTGCCCGATTGGCCCGAGAACCCCCATCCAAATCCCTCTCAGCGCCGTACTCAGAACGATGTCCCCACTGTAGTCTTGGGTGGGGCCAGGCCCTGAGCCAACCCTATACTGCCAGGCCCAGAAGCAGGCTGAACTGAGCTCAAGTCCACTCTGCCTCCATGAGCCCCACCACTGGGGCAGAGCTTCATAGCCTCAGGTCATGGAGAGGGACAGCAGAACACAGTCATCACTCCTGGGCACTGGGTCTCGTCTCCTCTCTCTGCCTCTTCGGAATCTCCTTAGTCTTGTGGTCTGAATTACCATTAATGGCTCCAACAGCTCCCAGATTTACCTTTCCACTCATTCATCCACTGAGCGAATGGTTATTAAGCACCTACTGTGCACCAAATACCATTCTAGGAGCTCAAGACAAATCCTTGAGCTCAACAGGAAAGATCTCCGCTCATGACCCATGTTTCCACAGGGGAGACATAAGGAAATTAACACCAGGCCAAGCACGTGTGGGCATGTGCCCACTGCGGCGGTATGCAAGGGGCAGGAGTGCCAGGGAAAGAAAGGAAACAGAGATGAACTTGTGGGGATAGGGAATGCTGGGAGTCAAGTGAGAGGTCTAGGCACAATGTGAAGGAGGCAGGGAACCAGGAAAAGAGGGCTTTGTTCCCAGAATAAAATGGGGAGCCGTGTAAGGCCTTGACCAGAGGAGTGGCATGGTTTTGTTTAGGATAAGAAAGGGTCATTTGGTTTGATCTGTTAAGAACATAGCCTTGGAAGCATGGTGGTGCACACCTATAATCCTAGCACTCTAGAAGGCTGAGGCAGGAGAATCACAAGTCTGGGCATCTTAGTGACTTAGCAAGACCCCGTCTCAAACAGTAAAAAAGGGCTGTGGATGTAGCTTACTGTAAAGACCATGGGTTGAATCCGCAGTACCATGGAGGAAGGAAGGAAGGGGCAGGGGGAGGGAGGGAGGGAAGACACTGGTCATCAGGGAGGTCCTGGTAAACAGAAACAGGGCTATGGAGTTAGGGCCACACCAAGGCACTGGAGGAGGTGCTGAGCATTCTGCCCTGGGGGCTCTCGAAAGGGTCAGTGCAGCAGGAAAGAGGCTGAGAACTGGGCCCCAAGTGGAGGAGGACCAGAGCAGTGGAGGAGACTAGGGCAGGAGAGGAGGAGGGAACAGCTCGAGGGAGAGGCTGCCTTCCCAGGAGAGGAAGTGGGGTTCTGAAGATTGGAGAGGGGCCCTGAGATGGACCCCTTGGTAACCCCAGTGACAGGAGTCAGTGATAGGACACAGGTACAGAGGTTGGGGACAGTGCCTAGGGCAACTGCTTCAGGCCTTCACCTACAGAGGGGAGCTGTGAACTGGGGAAACACAGCTCAGAAAGATAATGGCACCCAGCCTTTCTGCCGGCCAGCACAGAGGCACAGACCTGTGGGCACTGACTGCAGGCGCTTGCCTTGTGTTTCCTTCAGGAAGTCACCTCTGGGTGTGGTGAGTTATCCCTGGCCCTGGGTGGCTGTACGAGGGCAGAAATGGAGCAGCTTTATAGCCCATGGGCACTGGCTGAGGGAGGGAAGCAAGGAGAGAAATGTGAGGCATATTCCGAGGTGCAGGAGCGCCAGGACTCTGCACACAAATAGGACATCAGCATTAGCCCTTTCGAAACTGGAAGGCAGACTGTGCAGACGGCTGCTGGAAGACGGGAACGTGTCCAGTCCACAGAAAAGGAGCGTGGCATCTGGTCTGGGAGCGGACCCCACAAACTTATCATCAGGTGAAAGGCTTTCAAAGCTGCAACAGCTTTTTGCTCCTGAAGGGTGGGGCTGGGTGCTCAATTTCCTCCCGGAGGAACTGGGCTTTGCCCTGGGGAATCAGAGCAGCAGGCTGAGTTAGGCAAAGCTGAAGCGGGTGTCTGCCTTCTGGGAGGCAGACCGCATTAATGGTGCGAGCAGCCCGCCTCTCCTGGTCCTCCTGGGGGAGGTCCGGAGCAGTCTGGTGTACCGGCCGAGTTGCACTGCGGCTCATGCTCTGTGGGATGAGGCTGTGATAATCTACTGTGAGGTCAGCGTTACTATGGCCACAACCAAGACAAGAAACTAGTCTCGGCTGTGGCTGGACCCCATCCCTCCTCCGGTACAGGGGCCAGATGTGCCAGCTCCTGCAGCAGGAGCGAAGGAGGGACGAGGAGAGCTTGGGGTGCAGCAGCTCTCCTAGGATGCCCGGCCACTTAGTCCCACCTCGCCTTGAAGTGGGGCCTGGTGGGAAGGGAGTTATTTCCCTTTGTAGGATTTCTCCAGCTTACTCTGCTGGCAGGGTGTGCGCTGTGGCTCCTCCCAGGGGACATTCCAGGAGGAAGGGGCAGGCTCGGCTCAGTCATCACTTGAGAGCCCAGCCGTCCCAGCATCCTCTCTGCCTGCTCTGTGGCAGCAAGTCCTGCATGGCTGAGGTGCGGGGTAAGCACCTTCCCCGAGATGATGGAGGACGGAGGCAGATGACAGTCCGTGGAGAGCAGCAAGGGAAATCCTGACCCCATTCCTACTGATAGAGCTGCCCTCTCTGCCTCATCCTCCTGGTGCCTAGCTGCCACCGACCCTGCCCTTGGCCAGCCACACACAACTGCCTCCCACTCAGGACTTAACTCTAACACCAGCCTCTCCCTGCCCAAGAAAATCTGCAGTGCCAGAAAGCAATTCTGTGGGCTTACCATAAATCTACTGTAGTGTTATGTTTTCAAAGAAAAATAGTTAACCTATTTGGTCCTTCAATTGTTATTAGTATGACGCACTTGGGACATGCTTCCTGGTTTGGTTATGACACCACAGTTGAAAACTTCATTCTATTCACAATGAACAGCTCACCACTCCCTTTAGTGCCCCAAGCTCCCTTTGCCTAGGGTTCCATCACTCCTCTCCCTTCTGTACAGCCTCGAAGTCCTAGCTCAAGCACCACACTCTCCAGGAAGCCCTCTCTGACCTCCTCCCTCCGCTGAGGCCCTGTGATTCTAATGCATCTCCTCGGAGGAGAACAGTCTCAGGGCTCACGGGGTTCCCAGTCTACCTCCTGCTGGAACAGAAGCTCATTGTGGAGTCCAGAAAGGCTTGGGCGTGGGGCACAACCAGAGGAAATCCATCATGGAAGAAGTAAAGAGAGGGCGAGGGAAGCGAAGAAGTAGCAAGAAACACGTGTGCCAGGAACCCTTTTTACCTTTGCACCAGTAATTTCTTCCATCTGCCAAAAACATCTGCCTTCAGGTTTTCCTGCAGTTGTCTCATCTTGCCCTTGTCTGGCAGAATGAAGGTGGCGGTGAAGTTTTGCTGGTAGGGCATCTCCAGGACGGTGCAAGAGAGCTGCTTGTCATAGCCCATGTCGTACAGGCCCCCTCGGAACATCATGGGCACCTTCACTGATTTGTTTCTGCCCACGAAAAAATCTTCCTCTTTCGTTTGTTTTGGATCAAACACACGGTGCCACCTGGCTTAGGATTGAAGAAGGACAAGAATGACACATGAGTGTCTGGATAAGAAGAAGGTGACCAGATGCAACTTTTGCTGGTCTCTGACACACACAGATTCAGAGTAAGGGACTTGGCTCTTCAGGGATGTCACAAGAAGACTCCAGGAGTCCCTGCCCTCCTTCCATGCCCTGAAGACCCCCGGGGAGGTGGGCTCAGGCCCATTGGTCAGCTCTGAATGGAACCAGGATTAAGGCTGCCTCCTCCCCTATACCCAGGTGACTCTGAGGCTGAGAATGTCTACAGCTGGTGTCTTGAAAGAGAGGGCTGCACTGCAATTAGTGGGTCTCTGTGGGTGTGATAGGAGTACAAGTGCTTCACTCTGTTTTAAGTCAGCCATAAAGGAGTTACCATCACGAGCCCTCAGGAGTGCTGGACCGTAATGGACACTCAAGGCTGGACCCTTGGATCTCTCTTGATCCCGAGGACACATTGTCTCCATTGCACATAAATTCACCTCTGTATATTCAAACCTGCTACCCTCAGAGGCCCCAGCATAGGTCCCCGAGGGTCAACGCCCTGAGTTCCAATCCTGGCATCACTGTTCTAAAAGGGGACCTTGGATAAATGTATCAATTTCCCTGGACTTCAGTGCCCTAAATTCGTAGAAAGGGGATATTGATAGGTGCTTCTTGGGGCCGCTTTGGGACTTGTTGAGACAAGGCCGTGAGGCTCAGTGGCTGTGCAGTGAGTGTTGAGTGGATGCTGGTCATCATCAGCATCTTTCCTGTCATTGGTGTTCTCATGTGACCTATGACAAAGGGACTTTGAGAAATTCCCAATTCTTCCTCCCGTCTCTCTGGTTTAGGCAGACCATGATTTCGGGTGTCACCACTTGTTTTTCCCCAAGTAGCCATCCATCTCTCTGTGGGATTTAGGAGACCCTAACCTTCCATATTCGGGACCAGGAGTGATCTTGCTGTGAGCTTCTGATTTTCACCTATTTTTGGCCAATCTCTGCATGTGCGTGTGTGTGTGTGTGTGTGTGTGTGTGTGTGTGTGTGTGTGTGTGGTATGTGAGTGATTGTGGGAAGGGATTAAGCTTGAATTTGAGAACATTTTCATCTTCATTTTCAGCTTCTTTCTTAGACCTGGGGAATCTACAAAGTCTGATATGGAGACAAAGCCATCTACCAAAATGAGCCATCATCACCATTATCCACACGATCAGCATCCTGGGCCTGTATTTAATGTGGTGGAAAGTGCAGAGCCCTAGGGACAAGAGAAGTGGATTCCAGTCCTGACTGTCCTTGACTGGCTTTGGAACTTGGGATAAGTAACTAACCTCTCTCTGAGTTTCTCTTTTCTCACCTAAGAAATGGAGACAAGAATGTCAGTCCAACCTCTACAACCAATGTTATCAGGATCCTCAGTGATAATGAAAATGTACATATGGAGAGTAACTTAGACTTCACAAAGCTCGCTTCACAAACATTTCCACACCGAAACCTAAAGGCTGTGAGTCATCATACTTACAGGAAAGTGGGGCTGAGAGATTAGCTGCATCACGGGAACTTAAGCTCACAAAACAAGTAAGTGGCCAGATTTTAATCCAAGTTTGTTGAGCGCCCTGTCTCCTCCAATACCAACATGCCTGAGCCTTACCTCGGAAGTAAATGTAGTTTGTAAGAAGCATCACGGTGCCAGGGTCTATGCTCCTGATCAGGTTGTCGATTTTCCCATGGGTTTTATGACTGATATATTCATTGATCCTTTCCTGGGTGTTTTCTAGGTCCTGGAAGTTGGCAGGGAGAATTTCTGCATTGTACATGCTCTTGGCCACTCTCAGAAACTTCTGCTGTGGCTGCATCTCCTGGTCCAGGAACAGGGTGTTGCCGAAGTGCAGCTTGACGTCCTCCTTCTCCTGGTTCAGCTTGTGCAGGAGGTGGTGGAAGGCCTGGTGCAGGTCCCTCTCTGGCATCCCTTCGAAGTTGAAACCCTGCTTGATCTCAGTCAGGGTTGAGTCCTGGGCCCCCAGACACAGCAGAGAGAAGGCAGTGGAGATGCTCAAGGGTGAGAAGAAGACATTCTTCCAGGGGCTGTTGAGAACCAGCTTCCTGAGCAGCTTGAAGCCAAACTCCATGTTGCGCCTGGCCAGATCCTGGGCGTTCCTCTCTTCTTTCCACCCTTGGGGATGGATGTTAGACACCAAGACTGACTGAGGGACACTGGCTTTTTGCTGCCCTTCTGCGCTGAGGAGGCCAGCCAGGAACAGGCCCAGGCTCAGGCCCAGAGTGAGGTTCATCATCCTCATAGAAAGTCCTGTTGAGTAGTAGACCTGAGGTTAGCAGGAAAAATTATCAAAGTGCTTCTCTCTTGTTCCCAAAGAAGGCCAGGTGAAAAGAGAAATACAGGGGCTAGCATGAGATATGAGGTGGCATCTTCCTACTCAACCTTTAGTATCATCCCAGGGCCTAAAAATGATTATCCTCAGTCATAAGTGAGCACCTGAGTGATGAACACAGCTCCTGTCTTCTCCTCCCCCATCTTACTGTAGCCGTCACTCAGTTCCTTTGAGGAACTTGTGCTCTCAACTTCACTGTAGCATTCTACAGCCCGGACCTAAAGCCCAGAACATGCCACTGTATCTCTCCAACCCTTTGCCACGTGGATTGGTTAAAGAATGAGAGCGTTACTAAAATCAGATCTATCTGTGTCTTTCCTGGAGAAAGCAGTCTTTATAACTTTGGGCAGTTGGCTTAATAGTTTGGAAGAGGAATGTGGCCATGACTTTCACAGGTGGACAGAGGGAAGAGAGATAGGGCTGCACAGAGAGAAATGGGCAGCTACCTCTGAGGACATTTTTGGAGTCACTCGATCAACCTCTTCCTGATGCCCACTTACCTCCATTTCCCCAAGTTTTAGGGCTCAACAGATTTCCAACTCAGGGTTGGCTGGTTTGAGTTGGATTTTTTCCCCCAATTTTAGTTTATATGCTGCAGCAGTAAGCAGGGATTTTTTTTTTCCTTAGATCCAAAAGAATTCTGATTAATTTATAGAAAGCAAGCTCTCTGTGTGAGATCACATGCCCTGAGAGTGGGCTATATCCTGTCAAGGCTGACCCTGGTTTCTGGTAATGAGACTGCCCCACGCTCTCTCCAGGTAAGGGAATAGTGACACAGAGGAAAAGCCAAGCCTGCCTGGTTCCACAGAGGCCACTCCTTTCACCAACCTTTCTGCTCTGATATCTCCCACAGCCACTGTGAGCTTTTAGGGGACAAAAATTTCATTTTCATTGTTCCTCTGATCTCTGGGCTTAGGGCCTCAGAGAATTGCCAATAGCATGGCATTCTAAAAATTTGTTGATTTCTCTAATTAAAATACTATGGCCGAGGGCCAGGGATTTGGCTCAGTGGTTCTGCTGCCTGCCTTGCAAGCACAAGGGCCTGAGTTCAATTCCTGGTTCAAAAAAAAAAAAAAAAACCTATGGCTGGGTGTGGTGGCACACACCTGTGATCCTAGCACTGGGGAGCTTGAGGCAGGAGGATCACTGTGAGTTCGAGACCAGACTGGGCTACATAGTGAGTTCCAGGTCAGTCTCAACTACATAGTGAGACCCTGATTCAAAAAACACCAAAAAAAAAAAAAAACCTATGTTAAATGATTTTTATAATAATTTATATGTAAAATCGCAGGCCTCTTTGCCTGGCCCTGGGGTGCATCACCTATGCCTCTACACATTTGCAGTCCATGGAGCATGAAAGCTGCCCCAGGCCTTTTAGACTGGCCTCATGGGGGCATAGTTTTCAAGGAATCAGGGTGCATATTGTGTGTTTAGAGTTGTTTAAGGAGAAGCCTCTAGGGAAGCAATCCCAAAGATTGAACTCTGGAGAGCTGGCCCTTTAGATGGCACCCAACACTTGGTGACTGTGATCCGTCCCCAGGATGAGGACACGGCACGTAACTTCTGGGGACCATTAGCTATATCATCCCACAGGAGTCCATAGGCCCCCGCTGCAGGGGAACCCTAGTGTGGACACCCAGCAGGCTTTTTCTGGCTGACCAGATGGGTGCAAGGAAGATCCCTAGGATGAGGTGTGGCTCTGGACTGTGAATACCTCCTTCATCAAAGCAGTCACTGTCTTCAAGGAGTTGGCTATATTCTGGCAGATACTGCTAGATTTTTTAAATTGTTCACTCCTCCCTCAGGCAGCCTGTGAGCCTCAGGGAGTGGACCTCTGGCCCCAGATCTCCAAGGGAGGTCCTGATTGGTGTCAGATAATCTTGCTAATCTTGCTTCTGTGAGTGATTAGTTAGGAAATAGACATAACCCAGTCAAGGGGAGTTCAGGGAGGGGCCTATGATGTAAATGGTCCAACCAGGGTAAACCTCAGACCTGTTGGCATGTTGGGTGCTGCTCTCTCGGTTCCCTGGATGCCAGGGGCAGGAGAGTATGGCAGGGAGAGTAGCGCTCCATGCTGCCCCATAAGGGAAGTAAAGATAAAGCTAGACCATAGAGGACACATACCAGGGCTTGAGGAGAACCATGCTCCCTCCAACTTTTCATGGATATCTAGTTACCTGGCCAGGTACTTAAAGCCAAAAGCATCCTGAGAATTCCAGGGTTTTTTTTTTTTTTTTTGAAGTACCAGGACTGTGGCACAATCAAGAGCTCTGACCTTTGGTCTTGTGCCTTTATAGCAGTGTGGCATCCTAGAAACCACTTCCCCGACCTCAGAACCCAGGGTTCTCAAAGCACCTTCCACTCCCCAGGACTTCGTTTGGTAAAAATTAGAAAGGACTGGTGATGAACAGGGGCTCTGTGGGCTATGTGAAAGCAGATTTTAGGAGAAGAACTAGGAGAATCTCTTAGGATGCTTCTAATAAACAAAAGTGAACAGAACACGCAAAGGATCCAATCCTGGGCACTCCCAGGTAGGACAGCTGACAGGCTGCCTAGATCAAGGGAAGAGCTTTGCTGCCGAGTGGATGCACAGCTGAAGCAGCTGAAGAACACGCTCAGAAGGCTGTGGCAGCCACGGAGCTGCAAAGCCAGGAGCAACCTGGCAGGAGTCCTACCTGTGAGTCAGGGCAGGCTATGTCCTCCCAGCATGGGGAGACTGCTGTGCCCCCCTCAATGACACTGCCTGGGGCATCCTGCACTCTTACAGCTTGGTGCCCAAGGTCCCTTGCTGACCCCTAAAACTGTTCTTACTTGCCTGAGTTTCTGAAGTGAAGAACGACACTTTTAAGTCCCTTAGTCCTTCAGACACCAGCGTCTTCATCTATTAAATGTTAGGCGAGGGTTCATTTTCTCACTTTTATGAGGCTGCTCAGAAGCTGGCTGCCACCCATGGAGTCTCAGGTCTCAGCCTCCTCCCATCTCAGGAGCCTGTGTCACAGTGGTCCCCTCAGTCCCCTTGGGTCTCCTGCCCAGCTCCCACCCCACTGTAAGTCACCTGGCTCCTTCCTCCAGCAGCCCACACTACCTCCATTCTGGTTCTTCCCATCTGTCATCATGGTCCCTAAACTGACCCAAATTTGTCATATGAGTTAAATGCCTGAATAGGCCAAGCTTCTTTTCCATCAATTAAAATAGCTGACCAACTGGTTATTTCCCAATAAATTGACAGGTGGATCTCTTGAGTTGAGCAATTCTTTGTTGAGTTTTAGTTTGGAATGCATACACGTGTGTATGTGTGTGGAACCATTCTGTCTAGAACAGAGACTGTCCCATCCCCTCCATGACTCGCCCTTCTCCTAAAGGTTACTGTCATACTTCTCTCCTCTATGATGAAGCTCCCCAGCTGGGAAAAGTTGCTGTGATCTCTTTCCTCAAGACAACAAGAACAAAAAGTTGAGGATGCTCTGTACAAGTTCCCATCCCGTGTCTCGGCCCAATGGAGTGAACTTCAGGCAACCATAGGCTGCAGGCACCAGGCATCCTTCCCCATCCTGAGGGACCCCAAGCCCTCTGAGACCCCAGCTTTCCTCAGATTCTTTCCAGATTCCCCACTGGGTGTGTAACATTTAGGGACACTCAATACCTCCCTTGGACTGAGGGATATGAAGGATCTTTCTAAAGATCTAGTTTGCTATCTTCCAAAAAGACAATTGCCAAAGCCCTGTCCTTGAAGATACATCCTAGGCACATTCAATGGTCCACCTGGTCTGATAGATTGATGTTCTAAGATGACATCACACTAGATAAATTAGATGCTAAAAGGTTATTTTTGAAGGCCAGTTTAGAACAAAGTGGTGGTGCTGCATATCCTTTCCCCACTATGGGAAATGAGAGAGGCCCCCATCAGAGAAGAACTCTAATCACCATACCAAGCACAATACTTTATCTTCTTCCTTGGAAACAAAGGATGGAGCAAAGACTGTTTGATTTGGGTTGTGGGTTTCTGCCTTCATCGTTTTGAGAAACACGGTTGAGCCTGTGCTCTGAGCCGGGCCCTGGGCGTGTCTGAGCAACTCCCAGGGGGTGTTCATACTGATGCTGCTAGCTGAGAAGTGTTGTCCACACCAGTACCACAGACTTCTCCAAATGACTTGGGAACTGTCTAGTTCTGCTGGGCCCAACCTCCCTCCTTTTCTGTCACTTCACTGAAAAGCATGAATGACTGTCAACCTCAGGACCCCTTGTCCTGTGAAGGGGAAACCATGGTCTAGAGTGGACAAAGGAAGAGACCAGGTCATGGTATGCAATAGGGACAGATCAGAATGGGAATCAGTCAATGAGGGCAACTCTGTAAAGCAGGCTGAAGAATTAAACAGGCTGCTTCTCCTTGCTTTCTCCCTGAAGTGGTGAGTTGATGGATGCAGCATCTGAACGTCCATAGACTGCTCACTGAGGCCAGGGCAGATGGGGTGGGGAGGCTCCATTTGGAGGGTCTACTGCATTGCCCAAGACCACCCCTGAACCCACACTCACCAAGGATTTCCTCTAGGAAAGCTCTGGAAATAGATGTTCATGGCAATGAATCAGGGCCTCCAACCAAGCTGCCCAGCTAACTCCTCCAAGAGAGGTCCCAGATTTGGGCAATGTTCTAGAGTTTTCTTCTGATCTACCTTACATGGTACCATATCTTTCCTCAATCTGAGGTCAACTTCATGAGCAATATACAAGAAACCCTTGACCTTGCCAAAGGGGAGCTTTCATACTCACAGTACATCCAGAAGAAATCCACTGGGTTGACCAAATGAATCTTCCCTCTTGCTTTATTATTTATACTTCCATTCCTCTTGGAAAAGTCAAGTGCAGGCCAATAGAATCAGCTGGTCTGAATGGGCAGGTGATAGAGGTTCTGGGAGTAATGGCCACACCACAGCCCTGGGGGCTTCTCCTCACCACGGGAGGATGCAGTGTGATATGTAGGACCACACCCTCTGGGCTGGGGCTACCCTAATGAAGTCCACTCATATCTTTTGCAATGACTCAATTTCTCAATCTGCCTGGATCTGGAGGCTGGGATAGTCTACAAGTGGATCAGACACTGAATAGTCAACCCACTGATTACCTTTGTCATCAGTGGAAGAGAGTGACAACTGGGTTTCTTGGGGGATCATTTCCCTTTCTTTCTCATTTTCCTTTTCTTATTTTTAATGTGTTCCAAAGTCAACCTTGTTACCACAGCTCACAGAAAGACCCTGTGAGGAGAGGACTGAGGAGAATTGAACAGTGACATGCCTAGTATCTCTTAGGGGTAACAAAGACCAAACACTCCCATCAAACTTGTGATCAGTCAAGAAAGTGACTATTTTCCTGTTGCACAGTTATGTTGGATCAGTGGTCAATGGTTGAGTTTTGTTGTTCCCTCCCCTTAATTTTCTAAATCATCTTCAAGGGGCAGCTATTATTTTAGAGTTGCATTCAAAATAAAATGAATTATTTATTTTCCATTTCATCATTTAGAGAGAGATAAAATGTGGATGATGTCAGCATCTTCCAAACCCACAGATCCTGGGATAGAAAAACACAGAGCCTGAAGGACTGACTTGCAATTCTGTTTTCTATGATGAGCTCCAGTGATCAGAAAAAAAATCAAATCAAGATTTCTGACCCCATCGAGTGTGGCTTTGTAACAGTTATTGTGACCACACACCACGGGAGCCCCAGAAGAGGTCTGGGGAAGGTTCGTCCTGCTTTGGGGGTACTACTTTTGGGAGATACGTGGCCATCATCCTTGAAGCTGTATGCAGCAGGTGGCCCGGTGAGGCTTTCAAAGAAAGAAGTGACACTGGCTCATGCCTAGGCCTCGGTAGCCATGAACAGATGTTCTCCTGGCCCAGAATGTCAAGGCTGTGGGATGTGGGGCTCCCGTGCCACCAGAATCCAAAAGTGACCTGAAGGAGCTCTCAGCCACAGTTCTTCCTCATCCAGGGAGCAAGGGCTTCCTGTGGGATGCGCACAGCTCAGTGCACCCTGTGATGAGACAAGACCAGAGGGTTCCGTCCAGGCTGCAGAGGCAACCCAGGTGTAAGGACAAATGTCCCGGGGCCAGGGCAGGTGGTCCTATGGTGGCAGAGGCAGCAGAGGTGGAGGACAGGAGCCAGCCAAGCGAACACTGACCCAGAATGCGGGAAGGTTTGGGGTTTGGGAGGGAAGAACTTGGCCCGCTAATGACAGGGTGAGGCCTGGGTGAGCCCTTGGTCACGCCCACCACCTGTCCAAGACCTCTCTATGCTTCTGGCCAGAATCCTACAGGAGACGTGCAGGGCCAGACCTAGGTGGGGGTGACCACTGAGCGACACTAGCTGCATCGGGCATGCCTGAACTCAGACAGCACCCTGAGTCCTGTAGGCCACCGGGGAAGGGTGGGAAAAGCTGACCACCTGAGGAGACAGACTCACAGGTGGGAGGAGGCAGAAGCAATGAAGAATGAGTGCAGGAGGACCAGCCCTGGCTCAGCACCCACCAGGGCCTGGGCTACACTTAGACAGCCTCAAGAACCTGCAGGTGGGAAGACTCGCGCTCCAGACATCTGTCCTGGTGTCCACTGGTGGAGAAGAGGTTGAAGGTGATTGCTCAGCCTGGAGCAGCTGCTATGAGTTGATGGGCCAGAGGCACTAGCCTGGGGCTGGGGAATGGCCTGCATAGTTTTTCTAGCATTGCCTTGGTGGGGTGTGAGGGGAGCTGGGATTTTCCAGTCTCCCTTTCCCTGGGTCCTCCCAGATATAGAACCTATGAGGCATCCAAGAAGGTATTAATAGGCCACTCCTTGACTCAAGAACCCTGATCTGATGGGAGCATAGCATAGGAGAACAGAGGAGTACAAGCCACACCTGGTAAGGACCAAGGGTGAGGTAACTCTAGGAGGTGACAGCATGCAGGAGGTGCCTTATCCCACCTAGGGTCTGAGGATGGTATCATAATGGGCACGGTTCTCCAGATGAAAACCAAGGGCAAGAGCAGCACATCAGAGATGCTGCCACCCAGGGGGCTGTGAATGATCTAATGCCTGCAGGGATTGTAAATGTGAGTTTGAGCTTCCGGCTCCTTAACTGCGAACTGTGGATAACCGACCTGTAAAGCAGTCATCTAAAGCAGTCATCTATCCTAGCAGCTCTTTAGAGTCATCAGGGAGATTTTACTCCCTGGAGGTTTAGAGATTTGGAATTGGTAAGTTTGGAATCTAGGTTTAGAGATTTGGAAATTGGTAGTTAGAATGGGACAGAGCCAGGGTGAGGTGCTGTGCAGAACTTCTCTGAAGGATTATGGTGAGTATCCTGGGACGAAAGTCCCTATTTTCAAGCAAGGACGTCTTACCTAATGCTCGTGGGAACTGTATGGGCCATCTTTGAAACACGGGGCTTCCTTAAAGCTCCAAAATGTGGCAAAACTGTAGCAACAGAGGCAGACAAACAGCCCAGGAATGAAGCCAGGATGGACCCACACAGGAAGAGGTGCCTGCGATGTGACCAGACATCCCTGCAGCCAGCTCAGCCAATAGGAAAAGGCCGTTCCCCGGCAGTGCTGGTACTTTGCATGTCCACATGGGCCCGATGATCTGTGACCCCCACCCCACTCTGCACGCAAACGTTCATGCAGGAGATCATAGGTCTAAAAGTGACCCATATGAAAACTGATGGCATGCCATATGGGTTTTTGTTTTTGCTTTTGTTTGCCAGAAAAGACTCCATGATCATCCAAATAATAAAGCTCCTAGAAGAAGATGTTGTAGCCTAGTCTCAGAACTCTGAGACAGGCAAAGACTTCAAAGTCCATGAGGAGTGTTAATCATAAAAATGTGATATATTGAAGTTTATTAAGAACTTAAGAATTTATTAAGAATTCTTTAAAAATTACCTAAGTGAGGGCAAAGGTAAGTCGCAGATTGGAAGGTGGCATGTAGGCATACATCAGATGAAGGACTCACACATCAGATGAAGGACTCACACCAGATTAGAAATCAGTAAGAAAGCAACGATTTTAAAAGCAGATAAAAAAAGAGGCGGGATGTATCATGTACAGCTGCAAATTTCCTACCATGAGTGTGCCTAAAATGTACCAATAAATGTTTCACTATTAAAATAAAAAAGAAACATTCTTGCCTTATTCCGGATTAAAAAACAAAAAACAAAACAAAACAAAACAAAAAAACAGGCAGAGACCTGTAGAGATACTTCACAAAAGAGATCCAGATGACCTGCAAGCAGCTGGAAATGTTCGCGAAGTTATATCAGTCATCAGGAATATGCAAAATAAAATCACAACAAGATACCACAACACACCCAGCAAAATAGGTAACACTGAAAGGACACACAATGGTGCCAAGCTATGGGGCAGGAGGGGCTCTAGTCTCACACTGCATGGTGGTGCGGTAGCCTGGCATGGATGCTAGGGGGAGGCTGCTTGGCAGGAGCCATGAAAGCTAGATCCGTGGCTGCCCTTTGTCCCACGCACTGCACCCAGACCCCAAAGAAATGGGTGGTGAGTCCACAAAGACATGTGCAACAGTACCCAGCACAGCCCTCTGTACCAGCTCCACAGTGGAAACGCGCCAGAGGCCCCCTAGTAATAGAATGGGAAAGGGTGGGGACTTCTCAGCTCCAACCCAGCTCACAATTTCCATTTCTCTAGGTGACTCTCATCTGTTTTTCACAGGAACCTGGTTGAGGATCAACAAACAAGCATGTGGACACCTCGAAGCCCAAGTCACAGGAGCACAATCTACCTTCAAGCAAGAGAGCTGGAGGCTGAATTAACAAAACTGTAACTCCATTCACTGGCATAAACTCCCACTGGGGAGCTTAATCAATAAATCATTTAAATCAGTAAATGGTTTTAACAGAAAATTTACATTTCTACAGAAATCTCCAACAGGACCCTAGATTATGTTAAAGAGGTTTTAGTACAAGATGTTGAAAATCCTTCTAAGCAAAAATACAAGGATGAAAAAGGGGGATATGTAAGTATGTCATTAAAAAATCAGGAAGCATTCTGTCGATGGCAAGAAATAATCACATCCAATATGGCATTTTAAACCAATGGAGAAAAGGTGAAAAGCTCTGTAAATGTTGCTGGGAAACAAGGAAATCTTTCCAGAAACAGAATTAAGAATCGGAGGAAATCTTGATGTTAGCGTGAGAAAGAATGTCCCAGGTATGACACATGAGCCAGAAACCATGAAAGAAACAATGAATATATAGCTTTGGTATAACATCTTAAAACTCCACAGCAACACAAAATAAGGAAAAACCACAAATCAGAATGTGAGCAAGATGGAGTGGGAAAGCTCTTAGCCACCGCCAGTTCCCAGACAGCAGGAAGAGCACGCACGTGCCCCTCATTGTGCTGCTCCCCTTCCTGGCTCCCTTTCTGCTCCTTCTCACCTGGCCCCGCACTTCCCCGGCCCTCCAAGCCTCTTCTGCATACTGGGTGGGCTTCGACCCGACCTGCCAAGCCAGCCTCTGCTGTCTCCACCCTCACTGTGCCAACCTGGCCAGGTGGGTGCTCTGCAGATCCATCACAGGGGGCCCGGCTTGCGGGACCCAAGTACCTGCCTCAAAGAAACCACACAGGGAAAGTTGAGGGCAGGCTGCCCAGGGATCAGGGTGACACCCTCCGCTGCACCCAGGATTCCACAGCCCAATAGCTGAAATGACTTTGAATAGACTCAGCCACCCTACATTCCTTCCCAGCCACTGGGGAGGAGTGGGTGTGGGTGCTCTGGCACTGATGTTCAATACCCGCCACCCAGCGCAGATGTTTACATTGCCCGGCCCCACCTTTCAGGTGAAGGCTGAAAGCAGGCAGCTCATGCCCTCCCCACTCTGAAGTTCTGGGAGGTCCCCAGGACTGCACCTGTGTGCAACTAGAGACCCAAAATGCATCAGATAACTGGGGAAAGCAACCCTTACTCTGGTTCTCAGTTGACCACCTATGCACTGGTCAACAGGGAAGTATGTTGGATCTGTGGCTGCTGGAAGGGGCTGACCTCTTGGAAGTCATGACACCAATCAGTTTAATGTAAAAATCATACAGACCTGAGTCTGAGCTAAATGTTATTCTGGCCAGGATAAGATTCTGGGACCACAAACGACACAAACAGCAGAGCATTGCATAAAAATAATGTGGGAGGAAAGTACAAATGCATGTTGCAAAATAAGTATCTCTAATGTTTTATTGCACTTTGATTTTAGCTGTAGCAAGCTTATCCTTGTGCAGGTGTGCAGACACACAAATTTAATTCATATCAGTCTGTGAAGGAGGGACTGTTGTGTCACTATATACATTAGAAAACTGAAGTTTGGGAGGGTGAGAAAACTGTGGAACACCACACATCTATTAAATGGATATTCATCCTTTTAAGACTGTTTCCATCCAAATGAAAAACTTAAATGTTGCCACTAGTAGAGAAAGCTTGGGAGAAGTTGCAAAAAGGTTGGAAGGTCACCAGGGCCCCATGGAAGCCATGACTGTTGAGTGCCAAGCCTGCTGCCCAAAACATTTCCCTGATGAATTGTGCAACCTGGCAGGGGACAGGGGCTGCCACCACTTGTGAGCATTTCTCTAACCCCCACCTTCCCTTACTCCTCCTCCTCTTCTGCTTTCTTCAAAAGCAGAGGAGCTTGAGCTGTAACCCCATGCAGCGTCTATGATGTGCCAGGCAGAGGAGTGGAGGAGAACGACCTCACCAGAAGCACGGTTGTTTGCAGCCAGGTCAGCCTGGGCTTCCTCCCTCCCAGGACCCAAGAGCAGCTCTGACGGGAGCCAGCACCTGTGCCGACAGTGGGCTGATTCTACCTCTGCGCACTGAACCTCAGTGGGATCCTCTGCCCAGAGCAATGGTGCATGGTCCCCCTGCCTGGAAACCGGGCCACAGCACGGGGTGGGGTGGTGGGGGCTCCTGGTGTCTGCTAGGGAAGGAGCAGGAGGACTCCACAGCCAGGCCCGGGCATCGCCCCACTCGCCTCCTGCTTGGACTCTCCCGTCACACTAGGGCTGGGGTCTGAGATGCATGTGGGATGGAGCTCGGCTCCCACCCCTTGTCCCCTGCCTTCCTACACAGGGCCCGCTCTCAGGAAGTCTTGTGACAGCAGGTAGAGCAGCAGTCCTACCCTCAGACCAAGCTGGGTGAGACCCCTCGTCAGTCATGCCCTAGCTGGGCCACCGTGTCTCATGGCTCCCACCTGTGCAACGGGCCTTGTGAATGCTCACCTTGCCCGCTTCTCCAAGGGTCAGCGATGCGGCTGAGTGCCATGGCCGACCTGAAGGGAGTAAATTAAAATAATTAGTGATCGTTGTAGTCATGGTCATAGTGGTAATTAATGGTAATAGTGAGATGTGGACGGTGAGCTGATTTTGTTCATCCGAGTCACACGCGTCTCACTGACTCACTTTCCTTCATCTCCAGGGTGTTGGTGTGCCTGATTGCGCTGCTCACAAGGGAAGGAAGCAGGAAACCATCCAGCAGACAGCAGGAGCAGCATTCAAGAAGGCCGAGATCTGTAAACAATGTGGTTAGCATGGACAAGGGGTCCCCATCTGGATGACTTTACGTGCTGCGGGGCACTGAAGCATGGGAAAGCTCAGTCCTGTATGTAGGAGCGCAGAGCTCTGTGGGCTTCACACTAAGGACAGGCTCGGTCCTGGGCTGGGAATCTTGAGCATGCAGTGGGGAGAAGAGAAGAGATGCACAGGCCTGTAGGAGCCAGGCTGCCAGCTCGACCCTGACCGACAGGTGAAGAGGGGGAGTAAAGAGACACAGAATCAGGTTAAAAGTGGAGGACTAGGGGACTCTTGTCTCTTCAACAGAGAGCGCCAAGTGACTGGCTTGGCTTTATTCACTCAGACACAGCACAAGTAATCCGAGTTACACAGGACCCATCTGTCTCCCACCCTCCCAGGCATTCGTCCAGGTAAACAACAGGATCTCCATTGTTTCTACTTTTCCCTGCAAGCCCGTCAACATGCTTGCACACTGCCTTTCTTCTTAGCGGTCACTTAGGGGGCCAATTAGTCCTCATTCTTCCTATCTGGTCTCCTACATAGGTCCATGCACCATGTCCCAGGGACACCCCACACAGTCGCCAGTGCAAGCCACCTGCACAAGGACAGGTGACATCACGTGCAGCTCTGGGAGCAGTGACCACACAGCCCACCCTGCACACCGGAGGGAAATGTTCCAGGGACTCCTGCCAAGATAAGAGGAAGCAGCCAGGTACGTGCTGGTAAGTAAGTCACCTTTATTTGTATAGGAACCCTCTGAACTGCCACTGCTGGTTTGCTGATACGAGTAGGTCCTTTACACAGGGCTGCCTTTGTGATCTAAGACAAAGTAAGGGACAAAGGCTTTGGGGGAGAGAATATTTGGATTGCAAACTGTTCATACTAAAATATAAATGACTGACAGAGGGAAAGAAACAAGATGCTGGGAATCTGAAACTGGGAGGGGAGAGCAAGAGGGGGGAAAATTACAGAGCAAAAAAATGAAAGGGTGGGGTCCAGAGAACTAGATCTGGAGTGAGGTACAGGCTCTGTATCTTCTCTTTCCTAACTGAGCAACTGTCTTCAAGTTACTCCTTCTCTCGAAATCTTGATTTCCTCACTCATGGGATTAAGGAAATGCTTGGGAAATCTCATGGATTAAACCAGCACCCAGAAAGGATGGTGCAAACCACAACCACCATGCACAGGTTGCTCTGGGATTTGAGGACTTTGCAGGGTCTCCAGAGGCTGAAGCAGTAGCTTTTGTTTTCTTCCTTGTGGAATGAACTATTAAAAGAAAATAATAATAATTTCTGGGCACTCAGCTTGCAGCAGTGATGTTAGGATAAAAGTCAACCTCTCAAACCAGATCCCAGATTCTGGAGAGCCCTGGTCAGTGGGGACCACAACCAGCAGCTTTCTTCTCCAGTCTCCAAACCAGAGTGGTTTCCCTCCTTGCTTGCATGAGGTCCTTCCTGGGGCCCCTAGGGACCTTGGCCTGAGGAAGTGTGGGCTTGAGAAGGTGACATCGCGGGGCGGGGCAGGGTCCACCTCCTGTCACGTCTCTGTCTCAGCTGCTCACTGGCGATGGCACTCACATCCCCACCGCAGAGAGGCGAGGTGAGCCTTTGCAGTAGCTGATTCCATTGTCCTATTATTGTCATTATCATTGTTCTTATTATCCCATAATTTTAATTATTATTTTATGATGACACAGATGACAGTCGGTTGTTTTGGCAGCAACTCCAAAAGAATGGAGCCACAGAGAGCAGAGCATTTCCACAGAGGCGGCCACATCAGCATCCCACGCCCAACTACACCAGCTCCCACCCAGGCACAGGCTCGTGGCATTGAGCCAGGTGGCAGGCACGTGGCACAGGCCGTGGGCAGAGCTGGACCCTGAGAGCACCTTAGCCTGTGACTCATGTCCAGGTAATGACTGGTGGAGGTGAACAACAGGACTCAGTGCAAGGGGAAGAGGGGCACACTGGACATGGGGGGCCTAAGGGGATGGGGTTCCAAAGGTGTCCAACTGGCCTAAATGTCCTCTGAGCCAGCGGGTCCATTCTGAGGGACTTGACTGGACCTATGTAAGTATCCACAGGGCTGTTAGGAACTGCAGGGCAGAGGGAGTCCCATGTGGTGGTGGCCATTGGTGGCTGGAGACAGGTGTGTGTGGACCTTAGAGCCCATGGCTGTCAGGATCGGGGCTTCTGTGCTGCTGGCCTACAGGGGTG